ATTATTATTTTTTTTTTGGTGACCAAATGTTTTGATATAATTAATGTTAATAATAATACAATATATATATTAAGTTATATATATAATTATTAAATTATTAATATTAAAAAAATATGTGGGACTTAATAAATAAATAATTTAATAATAATAATAATTCTCAATTAAATATTAATAATATAATTATTATTATAATATTGCAATAATAATAATAATAATAATGTCAACATCAATGACACTACCAATGTCTACATTAATTGGCGCCAATTGTATCAAATACGGTATGTTATGATATAAATTAATTAAAAAAAATTATTTATATTTTTTTCTATTTATAGAAAAATTATTACTGTATTATAATATTATTATAACTAGAAATATAAATTACATTTACATATATTTATATATAAATAAAATATGATAAAAATAACTATATATTATATATATATATATAGTTGGTAGAAAAATCGTTAAAAAAATTGAGCCTTGGTCATTTTTTTATTTTATTTTGTTGGTTACATACTATTGTGTTTGATCTAAAAATCTTAATCGAGCTGTCAATCAATCATAACATTATATAATATTTTTTTTCTCTCTCTCTTTCTCTCATTTCATTTCCTATAAATATTGTTTAGTTTGTATGTATGGACTTATATTTATATATATACTGTATATATATGTGTGTTGTGTATACATATATTGATGTGTGTGTGTGTGTGTGTTATAGGAAAAAAATAATCAATTTTTGTTGCTATACTATATATTGTATCAAATGTTATATAATATTATAAAGTTTGTATATTTAAGTGAAAAAAAATTATTTGTGTATTAAGTTTAGACACACACACACACACAACAAAATACATAAGATTCATAAAAGTTTTTTTTTATATTATATAACCTTATACTAGTATATACTATATATATATTTTTTATTGTATATAACATTTACGTTATGTGGGGTATCACTTGCTATATATATATATAAATTTATATATTATATAATATAAAAAATACTGTATATACTAAATATTGGTATATTGTATATCAAAATTTGTATATCAAAATATATGCACTTAAAATGTTTAGTATATATACACACACACACACACACACATAGTTTGTAATATATATATATAAATAATATTATGAAATATGCAGATGTTTTTGAATAAATTTTTCAACATTGAGTTGAAAAAAAAATGTTTTTTTTCTCATATATGAGGAGAAAAATAATAATATAAAAAAAATTGAGAAAAAATTAAATTAAACAATAATTGAAGAGTTGGTTATATTATTGGGTTAACTTTAAACTAAAAAAAATAAAATAAATTATATATCATATTATATAACAGTATATATATACTATACTATCCTATCTAAAACATTATGTAAAATATAAATATCTATATTTAGTTAAATATATATACAATATATATATATATAGCACATTATATGCGATTCACAAAATTTTTGATACAATTTTTACTATATATATATATATTTTTTTTTGTTTTAAAAATAGCATTACATTATATATTAGGGGGTTTGAGGTTATAGTTTGAATCAATTTTGTTATTATTATCTATCATCGCTAATGATATAGACATGTGATAGTAATATGGTTTATATATATATATATAATCAAATAGAGAGAGAGAGAGAGAGAGAGAGAGAGAGAGAGAGAGAGAGTTAAGAGTTTATATCATATCATAGCCTATCATAACAATACAGTTTATATCAATTTATATATCATATAATATATAATATTAAGTTATACTCTATATATATATATCTTATATAGTGATTTTGCCCTAAAATAAAAATGTTTGTCAATTATGTGGCGCTTAGTTTAGACTACAATAAACTACTGGTTATATAATACAGTATATAATACATAATATATTAAATTGATGTCCAATAAGTTTTTTAACCAATATTGTTGTATTATAGTGTGTGTCTATACTAATAATATTGTTGGTGTGTGTGTGTGTGTGTGTGAACACAATTAGTCAATTTAGTGGCACTTGTATTAGTCCACAATATATTTTTTTTGTTGTTATTTGGGGTTTTGTTTGGCACTTAAATAGACAATTATTGACTTTATTTTTCTACGGGTTGTTATATTGTGTGTATATATGTGTCTGTTTCTGTCAAATCCTTTTTTATATATATATATAATACCTTTTCATATACTGATTGGTGGTAATGGTGGTGATGGTAGTGGTTGTGTGTGTGTGTGTGTGTGTGTATAGGGGGGGGGAAAGCCATAACTCTTTTGCCATCAATTTGTTATATTTCTTGTATATACGATATAAACAATATATATATATATAGATATATATAAACACATACAGTGTTAGGTCTCATTTATCATAATATATTGGGAGTGAGATGTATAATACACCTACACATAGACACACACATACATACATACATACATACATACATACATACATACATACATACATACATACATACATACATACATACATACATACATACATACATACATACATACATACATACATACATACATACATACATACATACATACATACATACATACATACATACATACATACATACATACATACATACATACATACATACATACATACATACATACATACATACATACATACATACATACATACATACATACATACATACATACATACATACATACATACATACATACATACATACATACATACATACATACATACATACATACATACATACATACATACATACATACATACATACATACATACATACATACATACATACATACATACATACATACATACATACATACATACATACATACATACATACATACATACATACATACATACATACATACATACATACATACATACATACATACATACATACATACATACATACATACATACATACATACATACATACATACATACATACATACATACATACATACATACATACATACATACATACATACATACACACACACACACACACACATACACACATACACACAATGTTTTTTTGGTATTGCCATTGACTTTGTGTTTTAACTTATAAAAAGAGAGAGAGAGAGAGAGAGAGAGAGAGAGAGAGAGAGAGAGAGAGAGAGAGAGAGAGAGGTTAGGATTTATATGGGATATACTATAGATATATTGATATATATTAGCAGAGAGAGAGAGAGAAAAAAACTAATCAATAAATATAAAAATAGCACTCAATATAAAAATTGTGGTATAGTTTTAATGATTAGATTTAGTTAGTAGAGTGAGTGAGTGAGTGAGTGAGAGAGAGAGAGAGAGAGAGAGAGAGAGAGAGAGAGAGAGAGAGAGAGAGAGAGTATTAATAAATGAATTTAGCGAACAATGAGAAGATTATATCATATATAATACAATATACTGTATAAATATATTATTATATGATAAATGTATAATTATAATAAATTAACAATTATTAAATATGTATAATAGCCACAGTTTAAATATAATTAAGCATCATTATACTGTATATATAAATTTGATCCAGCAAAAAAAAACATTAATTAGCAAAATAAATTACTTTATCTATAATTGAAATGTAAATTGCCATGGTTAATTGCTATAATAATATATTAATCATAAATTATAATATATATATATATATATATATATATAATAAATTGTCGCCAGGTGATATTAAATTACATATATATCTACTATTAGTATATATATAAATTTATATTAGATATTCAACATAATTAATCTGATTTAATATCAGCATAGAGTAAGTATTTTGATTATAATTAGCTGATATTTATTTAATAAATGTAATATTAATTTATTGATATATATATATAATTTAATTGATTTATTCACACACACACACACACACACACACACACACACACACACACACACACACACACACACACACACACACACACACACACACACACACACACACACACACACACACACACACACACACACACACATAGATGCGGTTTTTTAAATGTTATGATTAATTGCATGAATAAATAGTAAGGAAAACTATATATGAGTTGTTGTTATTTATTAAAAGATTTTATTTTAATCAATCATTTTTATTTGAGGTCCACTCTCTCTCTCTCTCTCTCTCTCTCTCTCTCTCTCTCTCTCTCTCTCTCTCTCKCTCTCTCTCTCTCTAATACCATATATAATTTATATCAATATATTGAATATATAAATACATAGTATAACTGGCCATTACTTATAGAGTATATATATACTACCAGTACTACTACTAATATATTTGAAGTCAATGCAAACCGATGGACGAGCAAAACCATGGGATTAAGTTTACACTTGTGTTTACAGTACAGACTCTATACTCATACACATAGACACACTGTGTTGTTAACTAACACCGCTATTGACTAGGATTAGACTCCCGGTGTGTGTGTGTATATGTATGTGTCTATGTGTTTGCCTATCTGTCTATCTATCTGTCTATTGACTTCAACTATTGATACAAAACTGTACTTTACTTACTTTTTCTGTGTGTATATAACTACTATATATATATATATATATATATATACAGTACAGTACAGTACAGTATATATACAGTATATATAAGGTATTACTGACCAACCGGTGCTCTTATTTTTATATTAAACAACCAAATGGTAGTATACTGTAGTAGTAGTAGTAGTAGTAGTAGTAATAGTAGTCTAAGCGCCCAATTTTCATGCATTTAATCTAAAATTAATTAAAAAAAATAAATAAAGTTAGTCACAGACTAACTAAATAGATAAGACATTGCATGTAATAATAAATTGATTGAATAATAGTATTAATCAGCAATGAAACTAAAGTGTATGTTTGGGTATATACTATAAGTATATTATATATATAAAACGGTATCTCTTTTAGTCTATATATATATATATATATATATATATATATTGATATATATTTGTATATCACTTAAAATCCCTGATCTAATTGCACATTCATTTATTATATACAGTAATGCTACTGATGCTAATGTTGTTGATGATGATGATGATGTCGACACAGTCATCAGCAGCAGCACAGGGAGCATCAGCACCATCACTACTACTATCTCCACTATTATCAGCACCATTAGGATTATCAGCGCCACCACCACCACCACCGGCACCGTTGACCTTTCGGGTAGAGCCACCGCCACGTGTACTATACTCTAACAAATACGGTACAGTCATACCCTGTTCAATGGACACTACAGGTCCCGCTACCGACAATTTGAAGATCACATGGATGTCGGTTACGGCCGACAACACCGCGGGTGGCGGTGGCGGTAGTAGTGGTGGTCAACACGACTCGGCGTATGCGGAGGTCAACGATGTTGTCGGACTTAGGCTGATCCGTGAAGACGGTTCTCTATGTTTGCTACCGTTTCCCGAAACCCATTATACGGATAGTATTCATAATACTGTCTATGTTTGTGTGGCCAGTTTACCGCCGTACGGCCAGATTGGCAGCCGATTTGTTAAAGTCAAAGCAGGTTAGTGTCTATTGTTTTAATTTAAATTCAACAAACATAACAAACAAACAAAAAAAACAAATCAATATTTTTATATTATTATTATTATTATCTAATTTATAAAACTTAATATTTATCTATAATATTATTATTAATAATACATTAGTTATATATTTGTATTTATTTTTGATATAATTTATATATACATATATTTATAAATTATATAATAAATAAATACAAATATATAACCATTATATACAGTTATATATAGTTATACGGTATATAAACTATATTTAAGTTTATTTTTGTTTATTTGTTTAAATTGTAATATATATACTGTATATTTAACGTTATATTTGTTCAAAAGTAATTTTATTTAAAAAATAAAAATAAAATATTTTTATAAAAATTTATATAAATATAATATATAAGATATACAGTATATTTTGTATCAAAATAAAAAAAACTAAAAAATAAATAAACAGAGAAAAAGATTTTAAAACTGCATTAAATTTTCAACACAAATGAGATGTCTCTCATGAGAATCAGCTCTCTTTCTCTCTCTCTCTCTTTGGGTTAAAATATTTATTGAAGAGAGAGAGAGAGAGAGAGAGAGAGAGAGAGAGAGAGAGAGTTATTTAGTAAATCACTAGTTATATACTTTTATTTTATATATTATATATATTTTTATTATATAAACTATACAGACATTAATATTGAAGTACTTATTATTATTATTATTATTATTATTATATATTATTATATAATAAGATTTTTCGACTGAGAGACAAATAGAGAGACACTATATTACATATATATAACTATATATATATATATTATATAATGCTTTTTATAGTTTTAAGAGCTAAGTTGGGAATTAAATTAGTAAATATATATATAATATATAAATATATATAGTTTTATTAAGCAATACATTACTGTATTATTTTATATATTTTTATTTTTATATGTGTGAAAGGCTTTTATTTTAAATACACTTATTTTGACTATTAATTAGTAAAAAAATATAATATAAAATAATTTTATTTGTGAAGCGTGTGTGTGTGTGTTGTACTGTATATGTGTTATACATAGTATTATTATTTTTGTTGATAAAATTTAATATCAATTGAAACGTAAATTAATTATATTTTTTAAAAATAAAATTACTAATTGATGCAAAACTACTTTATATGTATGTATGTAATCTACTAGTGTTTCACTTAAAAATATATATATGTAGTGTAATGTTGTGTAGTGTTGTATGAATTTTATCATTTGAAGTGCACTTCATATATATATATATATAAATAAATTATAATCTAATTAATGTTTGCATTCATAATAATCAAATGTCTATTTACTTTAAATTACATAATAAACTATATGTTCCGTACATATGTCGGGTATATACAGTATAAGTATATATATATATATATATAAATGTGTTTAAATGCAAATACTATAATCAAATGTCACCACTTGTTATGCATGATTGCCGGTGCGTGTGTTGTATGTATGTGTGTGTTGTATGTATGTATGTATGTGTGTGTTGTATGTATGTATGTATGTGTGTGTGTGTATGTATGTATATATATATGTGTATGTGTATGTATGTATGTGTGTGTCTGTATGTTTATGTATGTATATGTGTATTATGTCATGTGTTTTTTTAATAGCTATGTCATAGGGTTTTCTAAGTATGTATGTATGTGTGTGCGCGCGGGCGGACACATGAGTATACACGTTATAAAACACGAGTAAACACTACACATGAAATACAAGTTGTTTTTTGTGCTGTTTTTGTTGTTATGTAAGAGACAAACACTTGTTATGACCATCTGTTCACTTGAGAGAGAAAAAAAACTTCACAAACAGTCGTGTTATATATATATATATATACAGTATATATAAGACACAGTTATCTAATATTTTATTATATCATATATGATATATCATATTATATCACATATCAAATAAATTTTTATACTATAAATACATTTTTTCCCTTTCTTTTATAATAGTATCGCTAGTTTTCTTTATCAAACGTTTTTTTATGTTTTATAGTTTTTTTTGTGTTGAGTTTTTTATTTTATACATCAATGTCGAGACACCAGTAGTTTGGAGAGAGAGAGAGAGAGAGTATGTTTGAAATGTTGTTTTTGAAATAAAAGTGTAAATGCATTGTCGTGTCATTCATTCATATACTATAGATATATATATAGTATATAAATATAATATATATATATATATGAAGTGTATTAATATATATATATATCGAGTGCCCCACAAAAACACTATATTAGAGTCAATAGTATTGAGAGTGAAAATCATATATAAATATTTTCTGTATATATATAAAAAAATATATATATATATTTTTAACATAACACGAAATGAAAGCAAAATAAAGTTATATCACTTATAATAATAATAATAATAATAAAAATGTACAACATTTTGATGCCATATATATATATATATGCCTTTTATTTCTCTCTCTCTCTCTCTCTCTCTCTCTCTCTCTTTGATCTTACATAACAGTAATTTCCTTTATATTTAACAAAAAATAAAATAAAATTTTTTCATATTTTTCACACTTGTTTTATATATTTTATAAAAATTTATTATAATATAATATATGTTTAAATATATTATATACAGTATATAGAGTTGTTAAATAACTTTTCAATAATAAGATTATTATATAAAATTATACCTATTTTTGATTAAATTCTTAAGATTAATTGAAACATAGATATCAATGTAATAAATATTTTTTTTATTATTAAAAATGATATTCAAATTATTAAAAAACTTATTTTATTTTAATTAAAAAAAATGTTTTCTAAATTAAAAAGCATTTTATGATTAAGCTTTAATACCTAACAAAAAATAAAGTAATTCATCAAAAATATTATACATTTATTAAATATATAATAACATAGTTTGTATGATATATTGAATTAATATATTTAAAATAGATTTAAAAAACATTTTTGTTTTTAAAGTTTTTTTTTCAGTTATAATATTAGATATTATATAAAATGTTTTAAATAATATATGTATTACTACTACTACTACTACTACTACTACTAAGTTATATAACAAATTAATTATAGAAAAATTGAATTAAATACCGGTATTAAAAAAATATATATATAAGAAAAATGGATTTAAAATTATAATATAATTTAAATTATATTTATAATAATTATAGTTAAATATATATATAATAATTATATATATATATGAATATTCTGGTTTATAATTTATTATATAAAAAAATTTTTGAATTAAGATAATAAAAAAAATAAAATTTACACCAAAAATAATAATAATAATTTAATTATAGTTTGTTATTTCCTAATCATCTATTATAATGTCAATTATAAAAAATATCTCATAAATTTTTTTACATCATTTTCTAATTATATAATTATATATATTTTTTGTCAATTCTAGTTAATCAAAAATTTATGAGAGAAAGAGAGAGAGAGAGAGAGAGAGAGAGAGAGAGAGAGAGAGAGAGAGAGAGAGAGAGAGGAAGACAATTAATTTAGGATATAATTAATTATATGTAAAGACAAAAAAAAATAATAATAAAATATTATCAAAAAAAAAACTAAAAGTTTTTTTTTATTCTATGACTAAAAAAATTACTCTACATATGAAAAATTAATAACAATTTTTTTTTGGGTGACATTATTTTGTTTTGTTATTATTATTATTATTACTGTTTTTTATGTGTACAGTAGATACTAAAGTTGTAAATCTCTCTCTCTCTCTCTCTCTCTCTCTCTCTCTCTTATAAAAATAAAATTGTATTTTACTTTATAATTATATATTAGAAATAAAGTTACTTAAGAGAGAAAGAGAGAGAGAGAGAGAGAGAGAGAGAGAGAGAGAGCGGGAAACTAATAAATTATTTAAAAATCACATCTCAATGATTAAATATATATACAATATATATATATACAGTATATATACAGTATATATACAGTATATATACAGTATATATACAGTATATATACAGTATATATACAGTATATATACAGTAAATATACAGTATATACATATATATATATATAACATTACTATTGATTAAGACTCTCTTTCCGACACTAAAGACTCAATTAATTGTTTTATATATTTTAAGTGTAAGTCTTTTATACTAAAAAATTTAATTATATTTTTTTGTGTCTTTTATTTTGTTTAATTGTAAATTTTTAAAAACTAAATAATAGACAAAAAAAAATTAGTAATGATTTTTAATTATTTTTTAAAAAACTTATTCAATGTTGATAAATAACTGATTAATTAGTTATAATTACTGTTTTAAAAAATAAATATTATTTATTTTAATTTATTTAATTATCAATTATATATTCATTACACTATAATAGTATTAATTTTTTTTATTTCTATTTATTTATAATATTTATTACTCATAATAACTAATAATAATTTTTTTCGATACAAAACATATTTTAGTTAAACAAAACTAAAATATTTATTATATTCAATAAAATAATATTCAATACAATATATACAAAACTTTTATATACTCTATATATATATGTACAGTATTTATCAAAATAAAAAATACTATACTATTGAATATATATTTTTCCCCATTATATTAAGTTTACATTATTATTATTATTATTATTATTAATATAGTGTTCACTTTTGATTAATTCAATATTTTTTTTATTGTGTGTTTTGATTTTATTTAAAGATATTTATAAAGTAAGTGTATATACAATATATATATATACTGTATATGTGTTGTCGTTACTTATTATTTATAATAAAACTATGCCTACCCTTAAGCACGAGTTTATTTAGGGTTTTTATATATATGTGTATATATATATATATATATATACATATATTTATTGAATATATATGTCAGTACACTATATATATATATATATAAATGTATGAAAATTTTCTTTAATCTAATGTTAACCAAAACGGAAAAAATCTATTCATTATATATTTGTTAACACATTATT